ATTTTGGGTTAATCTTTCTCAAACCCCCTAATAAATTAATTTTTTTTTTTTAAAAAAAAATAAAATAAAATAAGAAGCCATTAAAATAAGGTTTCTTAAATAAGAGCCTTTTGACACGTTGGGCTTCAATAGGTTGAGAAAGTTTACATGTAATAGGGTCAATCGAATAGTCAATAGTTATGCTGTGCAACTGAATGTACCATGCGCATGGTGCATACGATGCAAAACGACGTCGTTTTGACTAAAAATGCGCGTCCCACTTTAATAAAAAAAAAAAATCAGGTTCGATTCTCGGCAATAGCATTATTGTGGATATATAGTTATGAATTTCTGGATATATAGTTATAAATTTGTGGATATATAGTTATGAATTTATGGATATTTAGTTCATTCATTGTGGATATATAGTTATGAATTTATGGATATATAGTTATGAATTTCTGGATATATAAAAATGCTATTGCCAGGAATCGAACCTGATTTCTTCTTTAAGTGGGACACGCGTTTTTTTTAACCAAAACGGCGACGTTTTGCAACCGTATGCACCTTGCAAGGTGCATTCGGTTGCACAGCATAATTTGCATCGAATAGTTATGCGGTGTAACTGTGTCCACCTTGCATGTTCATAATTACTGAACTATATGTTCATTATTATAAAGCTATAAATTCATAATTTTTGAACTTCTTATTTATAATTATTGAAGTCTATATTCATAATTGCAGAACTATATGCTCATAGTTACTAAATTATATGTTCATAATTATAAAGATATATATTCATAATAATTTTTTAACTTCATATTCGCAATTATTTAATCTCTATATTCATAATTACATAACTATACGTTTATAATTATGTTGACAACACTAAGTTCTTAATTATAGAACTATATGTTCATAATTTTTGAACTATATATTCATAATTATGAACTATTTTTGAACCGTGTCTACCTTGCAAGCTGGACACAGTTCCACAACATAATTTGTCGGGTCAATAGGACTAAAAAAAAAAAAAAAGTCTTTGGACTTTTCAATATTTGTCCATATTGATGGGCAAGAAATTATATGTTTGTAAGAGGAGGAACTATATGCATTGCTCCTCTTATATTGAGAAGCTCAAGAGGTCCTCTTTCCAAACATTTTTAATGTGGGATCAATATTATCCCACATCATTTACAAAGGGGAGCCACCTTTGTCTTCTTATTTTTTCTTAATTTTAATTTTATTTTGTATATAGTTTTATTATTATTATTATTATTATTATTATTATTATTATTATTATTATTATTATTATTATTATTGTTATTGTTGTTGTTGTTGTTGTTGTTGTTATTATTATTGTTATTGTTATTATTTTAATTTTTGTCTTCTTCTTATTTTTTTAATTTTATTTTATATATAGTTTTATTTGGATTATTATTATTGTTATTATTATTATTATTGTTGTTGTTGTTGTTGTTATTGTTATTGTTATTATTTTAATTTTACTTTTATTTTATTATTATTAGATTATTACATAGAATTTTTATTATATTTGAACAACGATATTATCAATTAATAGATTTTATTTAATTTCCATTTGACATTTACTTACCAAATAAGCTTTACCACAAATAATAATATTCTTCTTCCTATATATATATATATATATATATATATATATATATATATATATATATATATATATATATATATATATATATATATATAGAGAGAGAGAGAGAGAGAGAGAGAGAGAGAGAGAAAGAGAGAGAGAGAGAGAGAAATTAGTAATTTTGTGTAGGATTTATTTTTCTGTTAATTAGTGAATTCTGTATCCTTTTTCTAATCAGTGAATGAGGAATTTTTTTTTTTTTTTTGGTACTGCTAACTTTTTTACTGATTATTATTAGCATTAATCATATTATTATTATTATTATTATTGTTATTATTATTAATTATTAATTTATTATTATTATTATTATTATTATTAAATTAATTTCTTATCCTTATTATTATTAATTAGTTATTTTTGGTAGGATTTTTCTTTTCATTAATCATTGAATTCTGTTTCTTTTTCCATTAATCAGTGAATTAGGCATACTTTTTTACTGATTATTATTAGTATTAATTAGTGTAATCCGTTTTCTTTTATATTTTGAGTTAATTATGAATCCTTTTTTATTTTTATTTTTTACACATTGGTATTTAGTATTGATCAATTTTCTTTTTCAATGTGAATTAGGGATTTTTTTCCATTTTTACTGCTAACTTTTTTACTGATTATTATTAGTATTAATTAGTGAATTTTGTTTTCTTTTCCATTTTCAGTGAATTAGATATTTTATTTTTTTTTATTTTTCTATTTTTACTGCTAACTTTTATACTGATTATTATATAAAATATTATTAATTATATATAATATCTATATATAAATAATGGATGATATTACAGAAATGTCCCTATATTTTTGGGGAGAAATTTGGCTAGGGGGATTTTACTTTTAATTATATATATATATAATATAGATATAGATTAGTAATTTTTTGTAGGATTTATTTTTCCGTTTTTCTAATCAGTGAATTAGGAATTCTTTTTTTTTTTTTTTTTTAGTACTGCTAAATTTTTTACTAATTATTATTAGCATTAATCATAATAATAATAATTATTATTGTTATTAATTCTTAATTTTATTATTATTATTATTATTATTATTATTAGTTAATTTCATATCCTTATTATTATTAATTAGTTATTTTTTGTAGGATTTTTCTTTTCATTAATCATTGAATTCTGTTTCCTTTTTCATTAATCAGTGAATTAGGCATACTTTTTTACTGATTATTATTAGTATTAATTAGTGTAATCTGTTTCCTTTTACATTTTGAGTTAATTATGGATCTTTTTTTATTTTCATTTTTTACACATTATTATTTAGTATTGATCAATTTTCTTTTTCAATGTGAATTAGGGATTTTTTTTTTCATTTTTACTGGTTATTATTAGTATTAATTAGTGAATTTTGTTTCCTTATCCATTTTCAGTGAATTAGAGATCTTTTTTATTTTTATATAACAAATTTTCTATCTCTAATATTGCCAAATAGGTAATAAGTTATTAGTACTCAAATTACATTTGATATACTATTTTTATCATGCATTTTGAATAAGTTATTTTTTTCTTTGTTTTAGTTGTGATTTGATCTTGTAATTTACTGTGTACTTTTCTGTGTGGATTAAGCTTCGATATCATTTGGACTTTTGGTTAATCAATAAGTTCACGTACCACAAAATGGTATGTAAGTCAAACTCATACTTAGAGTAAATTGCATTCATATTTTATTTGATTTCCAGATTGCAATTACTCCAATCTGGTACAATCTACATGTTAAACACTTCCATTGTAATTTGAACTATGGACTTAGAGGACTCAGTTTGTCCAGACTGAGGTACATCTTGTGGTCTTCATTGTTGTGGTCTTGGAAAAAAATAGTTTGTCCAACGTGAGATGCATCTTGTGGCCAACCAAGTTGTGGTCCTGTAGAAGGAACTTAATAACTTTTTGCAGGTTTCATTCCTTATAGTCTGCTTTCCTTTATTTCACTTGGATAACCTTCAACCTTCTTTCATTGTTCAGAAACTGCATGCACATAGCTTGATTCCTGCAAAGAAAATATAATAAAACTAAGATATAATTAAATTACTATATGACATACTTTCAAAAAAAAAATTACTATATGACATACTTTATACTAAATTATAAATACATCCCAAGTTTATGCATTCACATGTTCTGCAAAACAAAATCATATGGAATGTAATACAGTTCATATGTGAGAAACCTGATGTTAAGTCAACTCACAGGACAATGAAAAACCTTTTTTTCCCTAGAAAAATGGAGGAGGGGATTCAACTCCTTTTCCCCTTTACCTAACACTGGAGTTGAGTATGGATTTGTACTTGCACAATCTTTTGACCACATTTCATTTTAGCTCCATTTCCCCTATGTTTTTTCTTTCCTTTCCTTTCCCTGCGTTTTCCCCTCTCATTGGGGGTACTGAAATTTTAAATGTTTTAACCTTGTAATGAAACTTCAAAATAGAAAATGGCACCACATCACACAAAATTACATTCTCAGAAAAATATAACATACCTTTGATATTGCCTCTATCTTAGTTTCTCAAGTTCAAGTTGAACATCTTTTAGGGCTATTGATGATTTAACCATTGGAACTCCTTTAGCAAACTTCAGATTTGTACTGAGAATCTCCATTAGTGAACAATAAGGAGAAATAGCAGAGAAGAATAGAAAATAATGGATGGTAGAATTGTTTAGGATTATAAGAGTATTTATAGTGCAGATTATGTGGCTGGTTATGGAGCATTATTATTTGCAGAAATAAAGATTATTTTGCAGATTATGTGGATGGTTATAGAGAAATCTCGATGTACAATTGCAATTGTAGATTATGACTGATTATGAATTTATTTATGGAGCAATTATAACGTAAAATAAGGTAAATTTATTAATAACTGATTCTATTGATTGATTATTGAGTATATATAAATCTGGACATAATACTTACAGTACTATAAATTAATTAGGTAAGATTGTGTAGTAATTCATTTGGTAAGTTATGATTCACATGTAAATTAATTTCTATAATTAATCGGATATGAATAATATATAATTACTATACTTATTAATTATTAATTAAATAAATTTAGATATTACATAAATGACCCTAAGTTTTGGGGGGGAAATTTGGGAAGGAGGATTTTAGTTATATATATATATAGATTTTCAGCAATATGAACTTTAAACTTTTTTTTTTTTTTCTAAAAGATAATAATTAACCAATATGCCAATATCTTTAAATAATGCTATTACAGTATGGCTTGCAAAATTGGGTTGATCGAGTATATGACATGGGATTCCCAAATTTATATTACTAGAGCTTATTTAATAGCTCTCAAATTTTACTTAACAATGCAATTTGAGATTATACTAAGGGAGATATAGAATTCTAATTTTGTGAAAATAAAATATCAATTTAGATTATAAAATAGAATGATAATTTTGAATTAAGGGTATTTATTTTTATTCTCATGGACCCTAGAATTTAAAATATCATGGGGAAACATAAAATTTCACACATTAGGCCAAAAAAAAAAATATACACAATGGCTGGAATTAATAACCACAAGCCACTGGACAAGAGGGATGTAAGGTTGAGGTGTGGGGAACCTTTGGGGTTAGGGATTCAATTTTTTGGGTGAAGAAAATGGATGAAATGTTAAGACCATGATATCTTAATGAGAAGCAAGGCATCCTATTTATAGTGTAGGAGCCTCGTTCATACATTGAAGTGTGTGGACTAAGTTGCCTTCCATCTACACTATTCACCCCACTACTTTGAGTGAAGTGCAGTTCACATAAATAAGTAGAGTTTTGTGTCTTTTAGTATACAAAGACTGAGTAGCTTGGTGAGTTGATATTTGTATTGTTGTGCTCCAGATTGTGAGTTTAGTCACACAAATGTAACAAGATTAAATTAAATATTCAATTACTTAATAATAATATACTATACTTTTTGGTTTTCAAAATAGGTAACAAACATCAATGAAATTCTTTCGTTCTAATTAAACATAGAGTGTTGGGTTTATTTTGTTATAAATGGTTTTCCATTTTCTTCTACTCCACAACAATTGTTATATCGTGCACCAGGGTGCACAATGCATTGTGCATCCTAAAAATCCTCTGTTTCGCATGTACATAACTGTATAGTAGAATACACCCTAACATAATACACATAATCTTAACATAATATATAATACACATAAACTCTTAACATAATTCACATAAACTTTTAACATCATACACATAAACTCTTAATATAGTACATATAAACTCTTAACGTAATACACATAAACTTTTAACATAATACACGTACAGTTTTAAAGCGCACAATGCAATGTGCATTTTGATGCACAGTATAATTTGCCACTCCACAATATAATACGTAGTATATGTTATTTAGTTTGTGTCGACATGGGAAATATCTGGAAAATATCTTAGATATGATCTGTCACCAGTCGGTCGCCTGCCCCACGGTAAACGGCAGGTGTACCCAGCAACCGTCGAGCATGAAGAAAATCGACCTCGCGAAGCGAGGACGGCGACCTACCGTCCAGTCGAGGGTGTCCAGAAACCCCGACTCCCAGTCCTCGCCGTCGCCGGAACCACGGCTGGAGGGCTCGCAGCCCGACCCTGGTGGTCATCCGCGGCAGGGGAAGCGGAAGAAGAGGAGACCGAAGACGAAGACGAAGATGAAGATGAGGATGACAAAAAAAGAACGAGGGGAGAGGGAAGAAGGACACGATAATAAGTGATATATCGGAGGAGAAACTGACCTGAGAAGGGAGCGACGACCGGAGATGAGCAGAGTTGTCTAGAGGAAGGAAGAGTGCCGGAAGTGCGGAAGTTCGAAAATTGTAAAGGGGGAAAAGAGAAGGAAGGTCGAGGTATTTATAGGTTGGGATGACCGGCGAGATCGTGACACGTGTCCTCGATCTAACGGAGGGGAAGAGTGACGTAACGATTGACAAGACAGTTATGAGAAGACGTGTCTCAGAACCCTAACCGGCGGAACTCGATGAATCATCATAATGGCACTAGCGACCGTACCGCTTCACAGAACCAGTCGGTAAGGCGCGGGATCAGTCAGAATGGCGATGAGATATCGACCGGGTTCCCGGTTAACCGGGCTAGTGTTGGGAAACAAGGCGGCTGGGATGCTTGTGTTTCTTTGTATTTTCTTTTTACTTTTTCAGGCCATCGCTCGGCTAAACCTAAAAAAGTCAGGCGTTCAGGTGTGAACATGGTACAACACTTAGTAAAAGGGCAACACCGGTAATATCCGAAAGAGTACTGGGAGATCGTGGCCAGCCGGCTCTCAACAATCGACCACCAGGAAGTACGACTGCCTGCCTAGATGAAGGTCAGTTGGCTCGAGCAAACGGGCATATGCGACAGCTGGTGTGTCCCCGACCGAACGTCTTACAAGATTCAGGCGGGCGACCCAGATCCGTAGGCAGCGCGACTTAGGCGGGGAACCATTCAGGAAGTTTATCGAGCCATCAAGCTTCGCAGTCGAGACATCTTCGCCCAGGCATGACGACCCCTCGAGAGTTTTACAAAATTTTTTTTTACAAATTTCAGTAGGGTCAATTTAGTACATTAAATTATTTTTTATATTTAGAAAGTTTCTCGAGAGTTTATTAAATTAATTTTTAAAAATGTCCAGAGGGGTCAATTTAGTACATAAAATTATTTTCTATATTTAGAAAGGTTCTCAAGAGTTTATAAAATTATTTTTTAACAAATTTCAGTAGGGTCAATTTAGTAGGGTCAATTTGATTTGATTTAAGATCACTTTCAGGTGGTCGGAAATTCCATAATTTCTAGTAGTGACACTTTTTGATCAACTACATACGAAGATAGACGACCGAGATCGAAATTTGATCAACGGGCAAATAACTTTTATCAGGTATAAATACCCAAAAAGACTTAAAGACCAAGGCAAGAAGTTTGGCGAACAAATACGATTACACAAGAGAAAAACATACAATACGTTAATCAGCCACAAAGGGGGAAAGTGTGTTTCATAGAAATATATTCAAGTCTGCGAGAAAAATATTTTATTTCTTTGTAAACATCTCTACTGAGTGTAGAAAGAGGGCGGAGTAACAACATGAGTGTGAAAAACCCTGGTTGATCGAGTGTATCTTTGTGCGTAGCACTCGTTGTAAATGGCAGAGTAACAAGAGGAGCTTGTACGTGAAAACCCTATAGAGCGGTACTTTGTGCGTAGTTCTCGTGGTGTAGGAATACAGCTTGGTGCAAAGTACTCGGGGGGGGGGGGGGGGGGGGAGGGAGGGGAGTAACAAGAGGAGCTTGTGAAAAACCTTGGTGGAGTGTGGCTTTGTGCGAAGCACTCGTGAAGTGTCAATGGACACTAATTCACTATTGTATATGAGTGAACAAAGATAGTGAATCTCTCCTTTGGAGTTAAAGGAGAAAGTGGAGTAGGAGAATTACACCATCTCCGAACCACTCTAAATATCTATCTCTACTTTACTTACTGCTCATTTATTTGTGCATGCTTATTATAACTGCCAACTAACGCGATTACTATTCATCGCATATCGTTAAGTGTTTGGGATTGATTGTTCCCACATTTGCATGCGAGCCAAACTTTGCATACATCTCATTTGAGTTATATCAGGTGTTTTGAACATATTGCATGTTTAGAATCCATCCTTGAGCACTGCATAATCAAGCATAACACTTTACCATTTATCTTTTTCGATGTGCACTCTAATGATTAGTTGTTTATACTTGTTACTTGGAGTTGAAATTACCAAAGTGATATTTGTCTTATAAAAGTTTAAAAAGTTAGAAACGTCTATTCACCCTCCTCTAGACTTTTCACCACTCATTCGGGACCAACAATATATATATATATATATAATTGAGAATATTGTAGTAAATTGATCCATATACCCTAAAATATAATAGTTAACCAAACAAGATAATATTATATTACACAATTCAAACCAAACACATAAAGGTAATTTTACATTCTCAAAATCTCATATTACCTTTCGGGAGATAATCATATTACCTAGGTAATTTAAGATTCCGTGAACCAAACACCCCCTTAGAGTAGGGGGCAACAAAACTGCGACTTGGAGTTAAAGTTGCATCTCCTACATTTATTTCATATTTTCCATTTTTATTTCAACATCAAATTTATACTTACTTTATCAATACCCTGTTGGGAACTCGCAACTACCAAATCCTGCAAACAAAAACATATTGTATTTTAGTTAAATAATAGTGCATTCCATCATTTTAGTACCAACAAGAATTAATTAATTCCATATTTGAGCCAAACTTTGGGATAAGATTATAAGAACACGCCTAAATAAAAATAAAATTTTTATATTAAAGAAAATATTAATTGTTGGGAGTAATAAGAGATGCTTACTGGGAGGCTGGGTGACAACGTAGCCAGCACCACCGAAGTAGCACGTGCCAGGGCCACGTGCGTTCTTCTGGTAGTAGCTGTTGAAGGCGTAGGAAGCGTGGGCCACAAGGGTGTTAGGATTGTAACACGTGGACCCGGGCTGAATCGGACCGCAATCCGCTGCTCCCTGGCCGCAAGCGTAGTCCAGCGCCACCTGGAGCCTCTCCGGCCCGACGTCGCCGTTGGCCACGCACCACGTCGGAGGGACCTGAGCTTTACTCCCTCTATTCCCGAGGGCCGCTAGCGTCAGCGGGACGTCATAAACCTTTTGCTCGTTGGGATAGAAAAGCCCGTAGTTTCTCTCGGAGATGGGACCGGACTTCTGGTTCTCATTGAACAGAGAGAACAAGTAGACGCTAAGAGGCTCGTCGGGCCTCAAGGGGGTCCCACCCCCCGTGAGCACTCTTCGGACCAAATTCCCGTTGTACGCCGCTGCGTTCACGGCGCTCGCGGGGCCCGTCTCCCCGTCGTACGCCGCTGCGTTCACGGCGGCCTTCTTCCCGTTGTACGCCGCTGCATTCCTGTTGCCCTTCGACGGCCATCCGCTCTCGGAAATCACCACCCTAAAATGGCCGGGTTTGACGGCGTTAATGGCGGCGTAGACGGCGTCGACTTGCGCGTCGAACAGGCTTTTGTAAACAAGGCCATTGTTAGGATCCACCACGCCTTGGTTATCTCCGAACACCGCGTAGTCGAGGGAAATCTTGTCGGTATTAGCTTCATAGGCGTAGAAGGGGTAGGCGTTCAACATTAGAAACGAACCGGTTTGCTCGAGGAAACTCAGCATGGGCTTAATCACCGGAATCAGCTCCGGCTTGAACGAACCGGAGGAAGGAGGGTACGAAGTTTGCATGGCGCTGAAGCCGATGGGCGAGGAGACTTTGACGGAGGGAGCGACGCCGTATTTGGCCAGAGAAGCGTAAACGTTTTTCATAGCCGGCACGAGGTACGGGGTGGTGTTCGCCGGGTCGACGAACACTTCGTTGCCGACGGCGACGGTTTCGATGATGGACTTGTACGGTACGATGTTGGACTGGACCCACCGGTCGGTGAACGACTGGCTAGCCGCGGCGGCGGAGAGCTGTTCGTTGGGAAGCGCGACTGTAGTGGATATTCCCGATCCGGAAAGCGCGTCGAGAACCGTGGAGTCGGTGTCGTAGAGCTTGACTTTGGTGATTCCCTGACTCTTGAGCAACTGAACAACCTTCGCCGGAGAAGGAAGGTCGTCGGCGATTCGGCCGTAGTTGATTCCGATTGAGCCGGAGCCGGAGACCGAATGCCGTAACAAAGAGAGAAAAAGAGAAGCGAAAATGCAGAGGCTATACAATCTTGGAAACGCCATGCTAGAAGGAGAGAGAGATGAACGTGAAGACGATATTCCATGCAATTATATAGAAATTAAGGAAGAGAGGGTGCCAAGAGCTTGTGCTCAGGCACCAAGTTGATTCTCATAGGTTAGTTCGGTATTAATTATTTATATTTTAGTAGGTTAAGAAAATAGTTATGAAAAGATATTACATTGTAACAGAGTTGGTAGCACGGGAAAATTTAGCTCAGTGGGGTGGCTAAGGTGATGGCAGTGGAGGCCACTTATGCATTAAACATGGGTATTTTAATTGCCTAATTGCAATGCAAAGAAAATAAATACCCACTTATGAAACTTCCATATCTAATTATTTTTAATTATTTATCTCTATTAATTACTAAACATTGGTAGTATTTATATAGGGGGTTTAGTAAATGGTTGTTAGTTGATTGAGTTAGTGAGTTTGATTAGTTGATCGATAAGATTAGTTGATTGTATAAAAGTGATGTATGGGAAAGAGGTGGTGAGTAAACGGGTGTAAATTTGTCGTTCCGCTAAGGATTGGGACTATAGCACGTACTTGAGTGATAACTAAGGTCCTAGGCACCAAAGTATTGGAACTCACAAGAATCCAAGCAAGTTCAAATTCATGGTTGAGTACGTCAAACAATTAAATGCTAAAAATCTAGTTAAGACAATGCAAATTAAACACAAGTAAACACAATAATAAAAGATGGTCTCAAATTAGGGGATGTTGCCTTCTAGATGCTTTAACAACTTAGGGATTAGGGGAAAACATCAACCAAAGAATCATAAAGGCAATGCACATAAAAATCCTAGCTTAAAGTCATTTTTCATAAGCTAAAGAACAATGATTAGAGAAAGGATCGCCCCACTTTCGTGGTGTATCAATTTCTAGCTCTTAAAGCACAAAAGCATTTAGGCCCTCAATTCTTCCCTATTTTCATAGAAAGAAAATGGGTTTGAGAAAGGAGAGGCTTGAGTTCTTCACCCAACTTTCATTGTGGAGAATAACTATCCAAAAGCAAGCTAATAAGAGTTACGTACCAAATATTAACAAGATTCAACATAAATCCATTTCAAACAAATGAACCCTAGCTAGGTTAGATATCTTCCCCCTTATGCAATAATCACCTATTTAGCATCTAGGTTGGCAATATCACCCTAATCCAATCCCAAAAACGAACTACTCACACTTCATAAGCATAAATAACAACAAAGCACAAGAAAGTATCACAAACATTGCACAAAAGCTTAAACAGAAGAGTGAGAAAGCTTCTCTATTGAAGATGAAAAATTTGTGGTTGATTGAATCCCACTCCAATCCATTCTTCCAAAAGGCTGAACCCCAACCTTAAGGGCCCCCCACACCCCGGATCCCACTCCAATCCATGATTACAAGCTTTGTAGATGAGTTAGAGATGAAATACTAGACTAATCTAAGCTAAGGAAATGAAAGGAAGTGAAAGATGGGTTTTTGGGGTCAAAAATCCACTTTTAAATGAGCAAAAACGAGCTAATATGAGTTGCAGAGGGCTGGCCACGGGCGTGGCTTCACCCGTGGCAAGAAATGCAGTGTGTACTGCCCAGTGGCCACGGGCGTGGCCACAAGGCAGTATGCACTGCCTGTGCACTGAGTCTGTCTTCTAGGTCATTTTTTACCCTCGAAACGTTTGAATTAGCTTTTGGTGCTTGAATCAAAATTGCAGCCCTTGAAGATAGATTTCCAATGACACAAGAATCACTTCAATCGGACATTTGTAGCCCGAGATATGATCCAAAGACTATGACATCGACGTGCAGGTCGGGAATTGCAATGCATTGATCTTTTGCTTCTCTTTTGTTTTGGTTTGTTCAAATGACTAAGACCATTGAAAGCACCATCCTAGACTCCTTTGGAAGTGTTGCATCCATCTCCATAGCTTCATATTTAGCTCTCATTGACTCCAAATTCATCCAAAATGCCTCAAAAGCACACAATTGCCTGCAACTCTACAATTTATGCATCAAAAGATATAAACAAAGGAATTAAGGCACTTCTTTGCATAAAATCAAAGTGTTTGTCACTCAAAATATGTCTATACAAGGGGTAAAAATATGGACATAAATGCACTTATCAAAAAGTATTTGGTAAATTAGTTGTTAGCTGATTACATATAAAATGACTTTCTCAAGAAGTTGATCGAAAAAAGCTACTTTGAGCAGCTTTTTGAATTTTAGCATTGTGAAGCAATAAGTTGTTACAAAAAGTTAATTAATCAAACACTCATATTGATTATTTAACTAAGTCAAACAGCTAATAGTGGTCAAATAAGCCAAATTTTGGTGATAGGCTAACTATTTATTTACCAAACAAGGCCATAATCAAGGAAGCTCTTATATCTTCTCAAATATTCTATCGGGTTGGAGTGTGGGGTCCTTAAGGGTTGGAATTCAATCTTTAGGGGCCGTTTGGTTCACGGAATATATGTTAGATTACCTTTTGGAATGTTAGATTGCTAGGAATGTTAGATTCATATGTTTGGTTAAAATTGAGGTATATAATATATACATGTTTGGTTTAGGGGATATCTTTTATGTTATAATTATTATTTTTACTTTGAGTTAATGTTGGACTTCAAAATGACGTCGTTTTTGTAACCATGGCGCACACGGTTGCACAGCATAACGCTCTGTACATAGACATGGCGTCTTTGTGAGAAAAAGTGGAGTACTTACAGTCCCGCATAGGCTTAGCTCAATGATTTAGTGAGTAGTAGAAAAATTGGAGTCTCCACTCTTCTTGTTCTTCACCCTTATTTTATAGCAGGAGAGTGAGTGGTGTAGGCTCTCTACCATAATGGGGTTTAAATGGGTAGTTAGTGGGGGGTTATGGATAACTAATGGGCAATTTAAGTGAGTAGTGGGTTTTAATGGGTGATAATGGGAATAATGGCTATGATGGGTAATTAAGGGGTATTTATTTGGGGTTTATGGAGGGGTTTTGGGTAATTTAGTTTAGGGAGCCGAAAATCGATCGGTTGGTTACGTCCCGATTTGTTGCTAGGTGGTCCAATCGGATTCCCATGTTGGGTATCCATCACATACATTTAAGATAGTTATGTCAATAAATCCTATTTAAATCCTCCATTTAAGTTGTCTCTTCGGGATTCGACCACGTAAGATATTTCTAAGGTGATGTATCGATCTCACAAGGTTACATATGATAGTCTACGTTAATATATAAGATTTAGATCAAATCTACACTTACATATGAACTAACTTTTGTGGTGTAATTAAGATCTGGGTACATAACTGTCGGGTCAGTTAGCGGGGTGGTGCCATGTTGTATTGGTTTTATTTTTAGATTGTTACTACTTACTAAACATTTTCTTTACTTTTTTTTTTAACTATATTATTTTAAAAAATTGCAAAGAATGATTCAAAGTGGATGTTTAGGTTGTGAGATTTGATTGATTACATTACTTACTGCATTATATTGGCTTTAATTAGCTGCTGATCACATTAATATTGATTATTGTTTCACACTCATTGGTTCTGCATTCGTCAATAAAATCATTTAAGTATTTGTGAATGTTAAAGATTTTTAAGTTGTTGTTCCCAAACTCCAGTTCTAGTTTTTGCTATAAGTTATAAGTTTAATCTTCAGTTCTAGTTTTTGCTAATAAGTATATGAAAAGTATAGGTTTAAGTAGAAGAAATTTATTGAAAAAATAAAAATCAATATGAACAAGCAATAATGAAGTAAAAATAATATTATTTCAAATTTTTAGAGGAAGATTGTAAAGTTTAGGAGAGAGAAAAAAATTGGTAGAGTTTTAGGTATGAGGAAAATATGGGATAATGAAGAAAAAATTAATTTTATTAAATTTAGATAGGTTTATAAAGTTTAAATAGGGAGAAAATAGAGTTTAAATAGAGAGGGAAAACATTCAAAGTTCTTAGAAAGAAAATTTTGAAATCTTGAGGTTGATGGTTGGATTTCAACTATTTATATTTGAGAAGGAAAAGTCTACAAAAGTCTTAAAATTAAAAAGTCTACAAAAGTTCGTAACTTTTTGAATACCACATGACTTTTAAAGACTCTCTAAAAGTCTTAATCGAATACCACACGACTTTTAAAGACTCTTTAAAAATCATGATTGAATACCGCCTGACTTTTAAAGACTCTCTAAAAGTTTGAATTGAATACCTCCAAACTTTTAAAGTTCATAAAAGTCTTTAAAACTCTATGAAAGTCATGATTGAATACACCCCCCTTAGTAGATTGATAATGTGAGGGGAGTGTTATTATGAAATTATTTTTGTATTAAAAATATATACAGTTATGCAAGATATTTAATTAGTTATTCAAATCAAACTCAAAACAAAATTAATATATATATATATATATATATATATATATATATATATATATATTAATTGAGATGAATTATAACACTCAATTCCGAAGGAAGCTAAGCACAAAAATGTGGACTGATATGAAGTGTAACTGTGTAAGATGCACTCAACTGAAAAATATAACGAAAATATATGAATTGAGATGGAGGGTAAAACACATTATACTTTTAATATGCTACTGAGATGGCATATAAAATACACTGAATATGCAATCATCAACTCATCAAGGTTGTGTGCATAATGTTATTCTCACCCAAGAAGTGATCCATTCTATGAATAAGAAGGGGGGAAAAACAGGTATCTTAGTAGCCAAACTTGATCTCCGGAAGACCTACGACAGCCTGAATTGGAATTTTTTGGGTAACACGTTGAAAGAATTTGGATTCTCAGAAATGTTCGTTCAATTACTCCTCTTTACAGTGTCGCACACCAACATATCTATTATTTGGAATGGGGAGAAGCTGCCTTACATTCAGCCCAAAAGGGGTCTGCGTCAAGGCGATCCCCTCGCGCCCTACCTCTTTATCCTTGCCATGGAAAGACTCTCTTGGGATATTCAAGAGAGGGTAACAAACAGGACCTGAAAACCAATCAAGCTCACGGGAGGACGGCTGAGCGTCTCATCTTTTTTTCGCGGATGATCTTATGTTATTCGGCACGGCGACCGAAAAACAGATGGAAATCATGATGGATTGCATGAAAGACTTCTCATATCGGTCATGTTTGAATATTAATCTTTCCAAATCTTCGGTTTACTGCTCCGCTAATACTTCTAACAGAACTAAAAGAATAATTGGGGAGACTTCGAATCGGACTCCTCCAGATTTTCAACCAATGTACATGGCTCCTTCCACGTTTGGGTTCGAAGGAATTGCGATAAACAAGGCTGGCTTCACGATCACGCCTCCAGGGGATCCCACTTCTGCCACATGTTATGGGAGATGTGGAAGGCACCTTCAGCAACGCCTGGAGTGAACCGAACGATGTGGTGAGGCGAACGTCAGTTTTCATAAAAGAATACACGCTCCACCGTAATGTCGACAATGGTTTCAAAAAACCTTGCGGTAAATGGGTGGGGTGGGCTCCTCCTATGACTAGTTGGGTAAAACTTAACAAAGATGGTGCAAGGAAAGGTAACACAGGCCATGCAAGTGCGGGATGGTGCAAGGAAAGGTAACACAGGCCATGCAAGTGCGGGCGGGCTGGTACCTGGCTTGCCGGTTTTAATTTCTAACCAATATCGGCATCACATCCAGTTCTATGGCCGAGTTGTGGGGCCTTCGCGAAGGCCTAAAGATGGTAAAACAAATAGGCTGGGTAGGGTTATCGTAGAAATGGACAACGACGCGTTCGTTAAAATCTTGAATAGAGACACCCCACCTGAGCAAGCAGACACTCCTATGGTGACGGAATGCCTTCACTTAATGGCCAACTTGAGGTTGTTTAGTGTCTTACACATCTTCAGGGAAGGAAACAGATGCGCGGATAAACTTGCCAACCGGGCAAGACGCAACTCGAGGAACGTCCATTCTAGAAGAACCTCTAGACAGCATCATTGGTCTTCTTCAGGCAGATGCAGGAGGTGCTCACACCCGTAGAATAAGCTAATGGGGGCATAGCCCCCTCCAATGTACCCAAAAAAATCAAGGTTGTGTGCTTATAACAATCATTATACCATGGACTATGTTCACCTTATAAGGTGGACCAGTGACATAAAGTACATTTTTATTATATTAACATTTTTAATATATTAAATATTCATTTTTTGAGTACTGAAAATGCATTATTTAGTATATTAAAAATGTACATTTATTCATAATAAAAAGGAAAAAAGTAAACAACACTAGGAACTTGTGCAAAGGGCTCAACCAGGAGGATGTTAGCAAAAATTAAACTATTGACAAGCTCAATGGTGAAATAATGTGTCAGAATTTGGTTGACAACCAAAGTCAACAAACTTATTAAACACCTCATAAGCTGCCTTGCCCTTACCAAACCTTGAAAAGAAAGATTATTGCATATAATGAACAAAACATGATTGGAAAATCACTAAAAACTTTCATAGTCATGCTTAGACATTTGAGTTAATACCTCAATTTTACACGATAAAATCCCTAACTTTACAATTTTTACTCAACTTAATCCTCAGTTAGTTGGTTGCCAAAAGTGGCAATAAAATCAAAATTTCCGATTTTGATTTTTGAAGTAATTCGACCATCGATGGTAGCGTAGCTAAGCATTTTCCCGACAACAAGGAGAATTAATTGGAAGCATCATTAAACTTCGGTTCCATCCAAAAGATAAAATTGGGTAACTTCTTAGACACCATTTCTGTTAATTCCCAAACTATACTACATGGTCTACCTAAGTCACAACCGTTCCAACTAATAGTACTCATTGAGATTGGCGGGCCTGGATCCCAGAGCCTGCGAAAAAACAAATTTTTTGAACACCTATATGGAGTGCAATTAAAATTGTATTCTTGGCTAAATCAATATGGACAAGATTCAGTGGAAGCATCAAACCACGAATTACGTATGAAGGGCAAAAACCAAGAAAGCCCAATCCATCATCACTCGGCCTTCAACCTCAATATCTCCTTTGCTGTCCTTAACCTAAAATATGGCATGTGCTCCTACAACCAAAATGAAGTAGCATAGGAAGAATACCAGTATTAGTACATTATTATTATTATTATTATACCAAAATCCCACAATCCAAAATGTTTCTTGACTTCCCTTTCATATGCTCTATATATGTTTTCAATCTCATAAAAAGCTTCTTCTCACCTGGCTAAAACAAAGTCCCTTGTCTCTGCTGTAAAAATCAACATACTTGATCATAAACATGCCACAGTCAAACCTGGGTACAATACAAATGCCAATTCACATTATCAGATGAAAGAAACTCAAACATAAGGCAACAAAATCAGTAACGTTGGACTTAACTTCACTATTCTGGAATGCCCAACATAATTTGGAGTTCAAAACATCAAAATGCCTCTCAACTCTTTAATCACTCAACAACATCAAACAAAAATTGAAATAGTCATAATGCAGATTGGATATTTTGGTATCACACCGCTCAAAATGGAGGAGCAATTACAAAACATATTTGCAATGGACCAAACACCCCGGGGGGAGGGAGCAGGAGGAGGATGTCACAATGAGGTGAGGGAAGGGAAATACATGGGGGGATCATCTAAGGCACCAAGGCTGTAGGCAGCTAGCCAAGTATAATTCTTCACATTATTAACCTGTACAAGTCTATACTTCCCTCAAATGTCTCTAGTGTTCAATACCAATTGCCTCATTTTCAAGGAAGACCAAATGTAAGACATAGAGTCTAATCAGAAGGTTGCTATTACAGAAATGGAATACCAAACAGTAAACTTTTAGGGAATAGCAGAAATAAAATAGCGCGTGGTCACAAATCTAACTATCCAAGGGGGATTAAGAGGGAAATTTGCAATTCTTGCACCAGCTAAGCAGATGCTACTACCTTTATCTATCATAAAACCCAACAAAGTAATCAACTTTTGCAAGAAAAACAGGCTATCTATCATTAAAGCAAAGGGTAAAGCCAGCAGGTAACAGCCAAATAAATATTTTCTTTCTATAACAGGATATAGAAAAGAAAGAGAGAGAAAAAATCTTTAAGCTGTTTGACCACTTGGCCACCCACCCATTTTGTTGCTCAGGAAGGTCTTCAACAAATTCTTGCTCCCATGAACTAACATCAATCAGCTTCCCACTCTTGTCCTTCACTTCATCTACAAAGTATTTAGCCTGTAGATGAATACATAGGTAATATAATATGTATTTTGTAATAATTAAAGGGGGAAAAAAATAAAAATAAAAATAAAAAAGAAATCCAAAGCCCTAAATATACAAGAGAAATAGTCCTTTTCTCATTCCCTTTATTGGTCATGGTTAACGAAGTATGATCAAAGATCAGTAGATCACCTCTCAGGAGAGGGAGGACAGAGAGACGAGGAATGGTGACAAGTGAAAGTAAGAGGCGTCAAATGGACAGGTTAGCCCGAAGTCCAATCCAGACCCTCACTTGGGCTGGGCCGAGTGATCCATTTATTACAATGAGCAGACTAGGGCTAGCCCACTTTATATTACAGACAAGGCTGAACTTTAACTTTTGGCCCATGGACCGGGCCGGGCCGGTCTAGCATGTTGACCCATACATTTTTTTAAAAGATATAAATAATATAAAATACATATACATATACTTTAAAGGACTAATGGCCCATGGGATTATCACATTATAAACTGTGAAATTGATTTTATGTCTATTAAATTGCTATGTATTAACTATTTAGCTAGCTAATTGCCTAACTAAGCATACTAATTAGTAATTACTACTACCTTAAAATATTTTAAAGTTGTAAAATCTTATTTGTTTCAAATTGAAAAAAATATTCTTACTACTACTTAGTAGTTAGTAGTTGCAATTTGTAAACTTAATCTTATTAATGTTACTACATTATTGATTCCTTCATTTTTCTTGTAATAATTCTTAAGTTAAATAGTTGAAAATAAATATGTAAACTTGTGAAGCTAATTTAGTAGAAAGAAAACACAACTTAAATGAGTTATATACTTATATATAATTTTTAATTTTTAGGGTTAAAAACCGGGCGGGACTTAAATTTTTATGTTTCCAACCAGGCCAACCCAGTCCAAAAAAAAAAAAAAAAGGGCCAATGACATGCCGAATGGGGCCAGCGCAAACCTGCCCGTTTGGCACCTCTAGTGAAAGTGAAGAAAATAAAAAGGTAAGAACATGCAATCTTTCTTAAATAAAATTCATTCACATATCTGCAAAACTTACTAGTATTGGCATAACACAAGGATCTCTTCCCCTCAATGAATCAAGATACTGGAACTTTCCATCCTTCTTGTTGATGACAGCTAAACACCAATGCACTTCTTTGTGGATAGGAACAAAAATCTGAGCAGTTAATACAATACCAATTCACACTCAAAATTTCTGGTTATGTAACAACAAGAAGGCTTAACAATTATGAAATTTTACTTTGTCACATTCAAGTAGACAGTACCCCAATTTCCGTTGAGAAGTCCATCTTCGCACAGATTGGTAATTGTAGCCACCTCTTGTTAACTAAGCACAATAAATTACCAAAATATGTTGGTGGGCACAATCAGATAAAATTTTATTTATATAAATGCATAGACACAAAAGTCATGTATGAATTATAATCACATGAATGATACCACATAAGCAAAAAAGTTAAACTCACACTACATAGGATCTCATCCAGGGAGCAAAGCAAAATGAAATTAACAACCACAGGGTATTTTGGAGTTGTTAGTATTGAACACAATCAACTACAGAAGAATGTGTATTTTTAGAAAATTCTTAGAAATTACTCAAATTAGTCACCAGTTACCATTATAAACAGAAACAGACAGAATGTTCAGGCATATTATGTTTTTCTCTGTTTTTTTCTTAATAATGTTTCTGAATGAAAAATAAAGCCCTTGAAAATGGATAACATACACGCTTGTAAAAGAATGTGTTGAAGAAATGGCATCTCAGGAACTTTTGGGGCTCCTGTTTTTCTCTCTCTTTTAACAGCTCAAGATAGACATTAATAACCTGCAAATGAAGAAATAATATACTTAATGGGGCAATGGTTTTAGGTACCTTATTCAATTTTTATTTTTGTTTTAGAAATTACTAATCCAACCACCATCCATAAAGCAAACAAAATCAGACACATCACCTCATCATTCAACCATGCCCCTGGTTTCAAACACTGCAATAACTTCCCAGTAATATCAATGTTGGAATTCTCATGAGTTACCAACACATTGTGCCTGCAGAAAGTAAAACCAATAAATACAACATGCTCATATTTCAGGAAATAATAGTAATAAAATGACAGTCCATTCTAGAAAACCTGCAACCCCACCTATTGGAATTAGATAAAGCACAAGCAACTTCAGCATCTTCTTCCTCAGTGAGAGAGACAAAAGGTTCCTGAATTAGACACAGTACCTCCTTCACCTCCCCTGCTTTCTTCTGAGTCTGCAAATGCAATCGGCGTTTCTCAAGCAATTCGATATCAAACTTGAGCCTTTTGAACATATCATCTTTCTTATTCACGGCATCAAGCAACTTCTTGTACGATGGGAGGTCCAGATTATCCAATTCGGTAACGCCCGAAGAACTAGAGGGTTTAAGTGTCCTCTCCTTCTCCTCATCCTCGTTTCGTACGGAAGCACCCAAGATTTCCACTTCCTCATCACCATCCTTTGGAGGATATTCTACTCTCACCTTCTCTACAACCTCAACTTCTTCATTATCGACCTCAATCACATCCTCCTCTTTCCTTACATACCTCAAACAGCGAAATGCACTCTCTTTCGCCCTCTCGTACCGCTTACTCAAAAGACTCCCACTTCTACTACCCGGATTCTCCTCTCCAAAATCAACCTTGCCAGAAAAATTCCTCGAATTCGCAGAGAATCGGAACCTGGTTTGTCTACAAGGAGCGTGGACTTGTCTCTTTAGCTGGGCGGTAACTTCCGGGTACCGGAAAAACCTCGAGATTGTGGACTTTGCAGAAATGTGTGGTGCCGCGGAATCGGGAGGCTGGTGAGCCGGGGAAGGTGAAAGCTTGGGCTTTTTGGAGACGTGATCAAAGTTGGGAGAGAGAGTGTCGAAATTTGAAGTGAAGAAATCCTCGACCCGTATCCGATTCGGAGCTAACGCCTCCATTGCAGAAGCTCGAAAAACCGGCACAATCTTCTGGAGAAGCGCGGATGCATCCAGATCCAGGTCATAACATAAATTTTGAATGAAGAAGGATTTTGTCACACTTTATGAGCGTTGTGAGAGTTTCATTAATTAAAAGAAAAATAACACTTTTTTTTTTCCCAAGTTATATGCTTATAATATTTTTTTTAATTATTTATGTATTTATATTTGTTTTCTCAATTATATTAAAAGTGACAATATCTCCACTTGTATGTTAGATAGATATTTTTATCCTTAAAATTAAGTATTTCATTTATTTTTCGTTTCAAACAAATTATTGTGTATATATACAGATGACCATACTCAAAAAAATGTATTAATAATCACGGTTCAGTTTGAACATAACCGGACTCGGTAGCAACCGAATCGAAATAGTCAAAACGATTCTGGTTACGATTCATAACTAAAAAAAAAAGTAAAATAAAATAAAATAAAATAATTATTGAACCAACTTGGTTTGAACCGTCAATTCAAAATTTATTTTTTTATTTATTTTGTAAATTTTATTTCTTATTTTTAAAATAATATGAATTGAACAATCAACGTTGAAACATAGTTATGGCATATTAGCCACTGTAGCTCCGCCCCTGCATGCTAGCCATCTGAAGTGACACGTTTTTCCAACCACAGCTAACGTTGGAACATAGTTATTGCATAACTTTGTAGTATAATAATAATAATTATTATTATTATTATTATTATAATAATAATTATTATTATTATATATATATATATATATATATATATATTATAATTATTATTATAATAATAATAATAATAATAATAATAATAATAATTATACTACAAAGTTATGCAATAACTATGTTCCAACGTTAGCTGTGGTCGGAAAAACGTGTCACTACTTTTATATATATATATATATATATATATATATATATATATATATATATATAAATAAAAGTAGTCAAATATTTTTTTGAGTTAATTACCAAAATGGTCCCTCGACTATAGCGAAAGTACCGACTTGATTTTCGACTTATTTTCTTAACCGATTCAGTCATCAACTATTCAATTTTTGATCTATATAGTCCTCCGTCTGTTTGGGGGTTAAGTCGTCGTCTACAGTGAGGGCAAAATGGGACTTTCATTCCTGACATTTTCTTCTCCACTTTCTTTCTCCAGACATTTTTTTTTTTTCTTTTTTCACATTCTTGTTTCGGATTCATATGTCTGTGCCAGCCACACCGTCGACAATTCTTGCATTTCGTTGGCGTTGACTCCCTTAGTGTAGAACACGGTGGTCTACATTTACAGAGCCTTTCTGTCGAGCTGGAAGAATATTACGAATAGGGTTTCTTAATGACAACCCGGCAACCGCCGCCACCTTCAACCTGAACAAAAATGCTCGCTTATTTCGGAAGAAAAAGGACATTAAATTGTTCAATTTCGAAAATTCCAAGGTTGAAGGCTTCTGGGATTTGTCTGCCGCCCACAATTTCGTCACCCCGAGCCAATCCATATTAGCTAAATCCGCAACAATTCATCACACCCACCCACGATCCCCAAAATCCGCAACAAGAGCAGTGTCGGTGTTGCTCTATGACTCCCGACGGTGGCCTGATGTGTTCGGAGGTTTTGATTCCATGGTGAGAGTGTCACGAATAGGGGAAGCTCGGACTCCGATACCAAGGTGACTGAAATCAAAGGGAAGACAATTCTGTATAGTCGGCATTCAGCAGCCATAACTTCTGTGTCGTCGAATGAGGTGTCTTATGGAGATTTACAATTGTGATCGATGAGCGAGGAGTAGCAGTTTGTAGGTGGAGTTGAAAATGTCAGGAATGAAAGTCCTATTATGCCCTCACAGTGAACGGAGAGTTAACCTCCAAACAGACAGAGGACTATATGAGTCAAAATTTAAATAGTTGATGACTGAATCGATCAAGAAAATAAGTCAAGGACCAAGTCGGTACTTTCACTATAGTCGAGAGACTATTTTGGTACTTTACTCTTCTTTTTTTTTTTTTTCCTTTTCATATAGGCAATAAATAAATTTACAAAATTAGATAGATTTTGTTAATTAAAAAATTAAGAGTTCCATAATAAAAATATACGGAGTAATAATTTAGAAATAGGTACCCCTGATGTAGTATGTACAATGTACCCTACCGAGCGGGACTTTTAAAAAGGGGCGTAGACTCGTACAGAGAGTCATACAAAAAATCCCTCAATTTTGCTGCGACGGCGAAAACCATCCAACATTAGAACAAGAAGAAGAAGAAGAAGAAGAAAGGAAAGATGTCGTCTGGAATCACCCAGCAGCAGCAGCAGGAGGACAAGAAACCCCCCACCGATCAGCCCGGCGTTCATATCAACCTCAAAGTCAAGGGCCAGGTCTACCCTCTTTTCCACTCTCTGCGCTCGCTTATTCATACTCTAAATTTCGAATTCTTTGTTTTGATTTCTTGTTTTTGGTTTTCGGAGCCTTTTTTCTGATTTGCGTTGGGTGATCATCTAGAATTCCTTGTCTAGTTGTCTTCAACTGCGTTTTCCTATTCCAATATTCATTAATCTATGTTCTAGTTGGAGGTAAATGCCCATTCTCTCAAGTAGCAAGGTATTGATTATTCATTATCGTTCATGGATGTAAAAAATTGTTCTGTACCCACAAAGTGCCAAGTACTGGAACTGCTGTTTGTGTTTATTAGTGTTTATTATTCATTATTAGTGTTTTGTGGGCAAGATGTTATTATTAATGATGGTTATCTTTTCAATTGTTTTCTTGATTCTTGTCATGCAGCTAAACTTTTGTGTCTTGCCATCTTATATTGGCTAATATGTTCTAGCCTTTTCTTTGTATTTCCATGGAATACATTTAACTTCTCTTGTAAACCAATGAAGTAGGAAAATTGGTAACTTTTTGGAGGGCATCAGACTTTGAATTGGACAGAGCAGGACTCTTTAGTATGATTATTTTGGTGCTCATTTTGTATTCTATTACTCTGGTTTCTGGTGGCATTGTTGTCCTCATTCAATGTTTATTTTCACTTTTTCAGTTCCTTTTGGTTCACAGGAAACAATGTTGAATACTAAAAATAGTAAGAGACATGGTACATTTTGTAATTTGACAAAATTTTGAGCCATCTCAAGTACAAAATCTGATATATTCCCTTGTACTTGAAGCTGCTAGGAAGCTCTATTTACCTTTTATTATACTTTTATCTTTCTTTAGGTGTCTTTGTGCAAAGACCATGATTTGTATTTATCTTCCTTAATTTGTCTTTGTGCAAATACCATGATTATTTTTTGGGGTGACAAGAGAAACCTATAATCACTATCCGAGAGTGTGCACCTGGTAAACTCTGCATTGTGACCCTAGTCGGCAAAGGACCACAAGAAGGTAAACCAGCCTAGGTTGTCCATAGCTAGCCAGTTCAAACTAAGATGACTAATAGGCCGCTTTCTTGTGAGTCGAACATGTAATCTCGTTGACCAACTTGATTAGGGTTGTCCCTACGTAGACCATGATTTGTGCATAGATGTGCAGTGGCAACTGAAGTTCCATTCTTATGAATTCTTTGCTGCTAAAGTGTGAAATGTTTCGACTTTTGCAGGATGGAAACGAAGTGTTTTTCAGGATTAAGCGAAGCACTCCACTAAGGAAGCTCATGAATGCATACTGCGACAGGCAATCTGTGGATTCCAACTCTATTGCATTCTTGTTTGATGGTCGCCGCCTAAGAGGCGAGCAGACTCCTGATGAGGTCTTCTTTCTTCTCCCTGTTTTTTCAATCATTTTTCTTTAAACTTCCCCACAGACCATAATGTGTAGCCATTTGAATTCTGTTTTGCAGTTGGAGATGGAGGATGGGGATGAAATAGATGCTATGCTTCACCAAACTGGAGGTGCTACCATTTAGCTTGTCTTGAATAGAAATTCAGAATTTTATCCTACAATGTTTCTTCTGACATTAGTTAACAAGGATTTATATGATTTGTTCTTTATGATACTACTAGTAGGAAGGAATGCTTATTGGCTTGTGTAAGTAATGCTAGTTGGTTGCCCTATATTTCTATATTTTAGATATTGATATTGAATTACCAAATTTTAAAAATTTACCATTATTATTACTATTATGGGAATGTTATGCTGTGCAACCGTGTACACCATGCAAGGTGCACACGGTTCCAATTCATAATTTCTATATTATAGATTTATAATTTTTATATTGTAGATTCATAATTTCTAAACCGTAGATTCATAATTTAGATACAGTAGATTCATAATTTCTATATTGCAGATACATAATATTTGTATTGTAGATTCATAATTTCTGTATTGTAAATTCATAATTTCTAAACTGTATAGTTATCAAATTATGAACATATAGTTCCGCGATTTGTGAATACAGAGTTCAACAATTAGGAATATGAACATCGAAAATTATGAACATAGAGTTCTGTAATTATGAATGTAGAGTTCAATAATTATGAATATAAAGTTCTAAAATTATGAATATATACCTTTATAATTATCAACATATAATTCAGTAATTATGAACAAAAACGGTGTGCACCATGCACTATGCATGGTGCACACAGTTGCACAACATAATTTGTCACTATTTTTACCTCAAATGTTTGAACTTTTCCACAACTCACAAGCCTAAGGACAGGTTAAAAAAACCTTCACCATCTGGGATTAATGATTAAAAAGAGTTTTATTACCACAGTGAAAATCTTTTAGCTATGTAGCTTTATCCAGTTTCTTATTACAGTAGATCATAGTTCTATATAAGGGTGCATTTACTAATTTGGATAAATTAGGGAATTGAAATAAATAAATAAATAAATAAATATATATATATATATAAATAAATATATATATATATATATATATATATATATATATATATATATATATATAGGATTATATTCAAATACAAACAGGTCTTAAAATACAAACGTTTCATTAGGATCGTTGGATTTTGGGATTGAATGCCCAGGATTTATTTAATTATTTATGGTGGGTTTTAATAAAACAGTGTCTTATTTTACGTTAAGGGGGGTATTTTGGAGTTTTAGATTTTTTTTTAATCGCTTCAAATCCTAGAGATATTCAATCACCATCCATTTACACTTCTTTCACGGACTCTCTTTCTCTCTCCGTCGTGACCTTGCGTCTGCCTAGGATTTTCTCGCCGTCGATTCGTTTCTTCATCAGCAGCCCGGACGATGGTCGCAGTGGGGGAGACCGCGGGGGAGCCAAGCGTGGGGAGCCACCATCTCGGATTGTAGGACCAGGTATGTTTTGCCCCTTTACTCCTTTGCGAATTTGGTCTCGTTTTGTGGCTTCAGATTTTGTGGGTTGTTTGTCAACGTTGGTTGATAGATGGTCATTATGCATGTGTGTTTCCATCATCACTTGAGTTGTGTGTGAGGGGGGGGGGGGTGGCGTACGGTGCTTCACGGCGGTTTAGGACGACAAAATTACAGTAGGATTTTATTATTATTATTATTATTATTATTATTATTATTATTATTATTATTATTATTATTATTTTGCTTGTACTGATGGGATCAATTTTTTTTTTCTAAATATAAGTTTTCATAATTTTATTCCTATTTTTTCTATTTTCATTCCGTAAATCAGATGTAATGTTAATGTTTTACAGTAGCTTTGTGTATGCGTGTGAATATATGGATGCATTTGTTCGAATTTTTGTGTGCACGGTTTTATTAAGTGTCATTTGTTATTTGAAGTAGAATTGGTCAGTTGCAAGGTTGTCTTATAAAGTAATGAGTTTGCTGTGGGCATGCTTGTGAGTAAATTGATGCATTTGCTTGGATTTATGTGTGCACAGATTTATTAAGTGGGATTTGTAATTTGAATTAAAGAATTGGATAGTTGCAAGGTTGTGTTATAAAGTAATGAGTTTGATGTGGGCATGCTGGGGAATAAATGGATGCATTTGCTAGGATTTATGTGTGGGCAATTTTATTGAGTGGCATTTGTTAGTTCAATTATAGAAAAGGTTAGTTGCCATTTTGTGTTATAAAGGAATAGATTTGATTTGTGCATTTTATTCCTATTTTTATTGTTGTGAATAAATGGATACATTTGCTGGGATTTATGTGTGCACAGTTTTATTAAGTGGCATTTGAAGTTTGAATCCAAGAATTTGTTAGTTGCAAGGTTGTGGTATAAAGTAATGAGTTTTCTGTGTGCATGCTTGTGAATAAATGGGTGCATGTGCTGGGATTTATGTGTGCACAATTTTATTGAGTGGCAATTGTATGATCAATTTTAGAATTGGTTAGTTGCAAGGTTGTGTTACTGTTTCGAGTTTGGTTGGTTTATAACTCATTATTGTTTTCACTCTTTTCCTGTTTGCTAGGGTGGTCCCACTCAAGAGCATGGTGATGATGGCATGGGTGGTGTTTTAGTTGGTCCGGATACTGATGGGGTTGTTCCTAATGGGGGTCGAGCTTGTGCTGGTTCGGAGGGTGGTGGCCCGCGGGTTGTGGAGGAACATACGCATGTTGATGGTGTTTCCATGGTGTCTGATCTTGTGTTTGAGGGTGCTTGCCCGAGGGGTTTTATTCCTAGTTTTTTTATTTTTATTCTGTAGATGTATTTTTAATTTTTTATAGTAGCTTTGGGCATGCTTTTGAATAAATGGATGCATTTGCTGGGATTTATGTGTGCACAGTTTTATTAAGTGACATTTGTATTTTGAATCCAATAATTGGTTAGTTTCAAGGTTGTGGTATAAAGTAATGAGTTTTCTGTGTGCATGCTTGTGAATAAATGGGTGCATGTGCTGGGATTTATGTGTGCACAGTTTTATTAAGTGGCAATTGCATGTTCAATTTAGAATTGATTAGTTGCAAAGTTGTGTTATAAAGTAATGAATTTGATGTGCGCGTGATTGTGAATAAATGGATGCACTTGCTGAAATTTATGTGTGCACAATTTTAGTAAGTGACATTTGTAATTTGAATTCAAGAATTGGTTATTGATGCTCACAGAGTTACGCCAATGTGCACACGAATCCACCAACAAACATTAGAAACTACTGTTACCTAAACAAAGGGAATTAGTTTAGAAGTGTAGGGCTGTGCACCTTGAATTATAACACTATGCATTCCGACAAACACAAACGCAACCCAAACCAAAGTAAACACCAAAATTACACTAAACGAGAAGCAATTAATACCATAAATTTGTCAGTAATAAACACGCAACCAAATGTGAAGAAACAAATGTCAAAGGGACCACATGAGGGTACACGGGTGCAGCCCATACTTAGCCATAAGAATGAGAACTCAGCAAACTAAATAGTGGCTTAATCACCCATAAACAGTAACAATGGTAGCTGAATAAAAAACCCAAAAGGTAGCCATACGACGGCAAAAACTGCGAATTAATATCCATTAAACCAAGGACATGAAACCCACTCCGGACCTTCGGGATCGATGACACGAATTGATACACCCGAGAGGTATCCCTAGACTTAAGTAAATTGAATTCTGATGTTGCAATTTCCTTCATGTAGCGTAACCTCAACTTCTTGAGCTGAGCAATGTTACATTTGGTAAGGCCTCCATCTAGCCACTCCCTGCCCCATATAAGACTACATATGACGCGTGACATAAACCCCGCAGTCAACCTTATTCTTGCCATCACGCCCCAGTAGAATGCTAGTTCGTCTTCTAGTGTTGCAAATTGTTACCCGTCAATGGGGTGCATTCGCTTTTGCGAGTGGGTAACCACTGTTTCATTCCATCTGGTAATATGACCATTTCTTAATTTGTTACTCCTTCTCCGATATGCTCTTTGACTATAAATCAAAAGTGTTTTGCGTAAATATTAGTAGCATTGTTCGGCACTGGCAACACTGTTAGAATTGCATATAATATAAACGAGCGAATCTGTGAATGCGCATGTTCAACCCACGGTCCAGGGTGTGCAAACGAGAGTAATAATGTGTGCACTCTGTGACCAAATCAATACAACCTCTACCCCCACCGTGTAGTCAGTCCATAATTTCTAGTTTTGCAGATTTGTATTCACGGAATTCCATCACATCTACGACGAGTACGTACTGAGTAGGAGATTCACTACTTGTGACCCCAAAAAAATTATACCAATAATAGCGGTCAACTATATGGTGTAATTATCTGAATTGGCATCGTCCATAGAGTCTAAGTTGGCATCGTAATTTCTTAGGTCTGCGTCATCCATTGGGTCTGCTCTCGCGTCCATGGAGTATGTTTCTCAAGTCAATGGGTGGACGTCGGAGCAGTTTTCCTATGGCATGAAAGGGGTGTCGTTGCCAATTGTTTATTCAATCCTATCAGTAATTTACTTCCTTAATTATAGGATATTATACAAATTAGAATTCATTCCTTATTTTACGTGTGAGTGCTTTGTCAATATTGCCCTTATTTATACTAATTAACAATCCGCGTCTCCCAACAAAGACTACATCTAATCCATTCATCTTATCACATTCTATGACTAGATTTTGTCCACACGTTTGTATTTTAAGGGTGTTTGCATTAGAATGCAACCATATATATATATTATAAACACTTCAAACAGCAATAGGGCCTTCTTGTTCATTGAATTTGGGTCATTGAAATGCCCAACAGTAAGAATAGTAAAAATACCCATTTGTTTGTTTGGGCAAATTATACCGTGCACCAGGGCGCACAGTGCATTGTGTGCACTGACCTAAAACGACGTCGTTTTGACCCTTTTTCGCGTGATTGATGTTAAAAAAAAATTATGTTTTGAATGTACAGAATTGTATAATAGAAAACATAGAATTTTATACCTGAAAACACATAATTTTATACCTAAACACACATAATTTTTATAACTGAAAATCTCCATGTTTTAAATGTGCAAAATTATATAATAGAAAACACATAATTTTATACCTGAAAACATATAATCTTTTTAAAAAGGACAAAAATTCCTTGTTTCGAATGTACAGAATTTTATACCTGAAAACACATAATTTTATAACATAATACAAAACGACGTTGTTTTGGGAGGCGAGGGGCGCACATTGTTATGTGCGCCCTGGTACACAGTATAACGATTGTTTGTTTGGCACATTAGCATG